ACTGAGGGATTGAGGAGCTGCTTCCTGGCAGAGCTGTGCATGAGGGGTGTCCCTGCAGACAGGAAGGATGTGGGTGTGACAGCACTGTGCATGTGTGTGTGTGTGTGATTGTTCATGTGTACACGTGTGTGCATCTGTGCCCATGAGTAGTCTCCTACGGACATGTGCATGTGTGTGTGTGCACGTGTGTGTATAGTGGAGCTGGATGGCACTCCGAACTGTGTCCTTACACTGTGACAATCGTGGAACCCCTCACCCGAGGGCTTATTCTGTACCAGGTGCCATGAATATTACTCGCCTGCACTGGGCCCCGAGTCTCCCCATCCCTGCCAGGCAGGCGCTGACACTCCAGGCGTCCCTCCACCCTCATGCCCTGCCCAGCCCACTCGCCTGCCCTACCCTCCTGCCGCACCCCTCCCTTTCTCCCACTCAGGACAGACCCTGGTCCGGGCTGACCCCGCTCACCTGGAACATGCAGGAGGAGCAGAGCTGAGGACAGCCAGGCAGCCCCGTTCCTCGTGGTCATTTTCCTCACAAATGTCTCCTGCAGGCCAGGTTCCAGAACCCCTCACAGTGGGCCTGTCCCCGTGTGCACTTCTGCTTTCTGCCCCTCGTCTCCTCGTCCAGTCCCGTCTCAGGCCGGCGCTCCAGCTGGTCACGATGCAGGAGCCTCAGGGAGAGGAGCTGTTTGGGCCCGGGCTGGTGCCCCAGGACTCAGTGCTGCTGGCCCCTCTCACTCCTAGCCCCTGGGCATGACCAGACCCTGTCAGCTAGGATGCCGCCCTCACACGCCCTCACTGCCAGTCCCCTGCCTCACTCCCCGTTCAGCACAGCAGAGTCACACTGGGCCATTCCTCCCACTGGGGCTCCAACCCCTGTCACTTGTCACTTCCTGTGTGAGGATGCACAGTCTGGGGCGGAGCCACCTCCGTCCACCCTCTCTGGCCCCAGTGCTGCCGACATAGCCAGAGGCTGGTCATAATGTCGTGATTGCTAGATAAGAAGCAGCCCTGGGCCAGCTCTGTGGCCTGGTGGGTAGGAGTCTGATCCCTCATGGCGACCGTGCAATTCAAGTCTCGGCCCCAGATGTTAAAGAAACACACTGGGTGTGCGCTCCAGATCCAACAGGATGGAGAAATGGAAGAGAAGGGCCTGGGCTGTGACCACCTCCATTAGGGGGTGCTACACTCCTCTCCCACTCTCTGTCTCTCTCTGGCACACCTATGTACCCTATGGCAAATTTTTTAAAAAATAAAGAAAGAAGGGACCAGCAGTTAGCATAATGGCTATGTCGTTGGACTCCCACGTAGTCTACAGCGGTTCGAGTCCCAGGCTTAAACTCAGGCAAGGCGTGTGTGCGCGCGTGCCTAAGATCCCGAGAGGAGAATGGAGGAGAAGGGATTGAGGCGTGGCCATCCCCTCTGGGGGGTGATTTCTCGCTTTCTGTCTCTCTGTCTCTCTCTGTCTGTCTGGCAAGCGCACGCGCCCTGTAGCAAAAAGCTCTCCAAAAAAAGAAAGAAAGAAAGAAAGAAAGAGAGAAAGAGAGAAAGAGAGAAAGAGAGAAAGAGAGAGAGAGAGAGAGAGAGAGAGAGAGAGAGAAAGAAAGAAAGAAAGAAAGAAAGAAAGAAAGAAAGAAAGAAAGAAAGAAAGAAAGAAAGAAAGAAAGAAAAAGAAAGCAAGCAAGCAGTAAACCTAGCCCCAAGCTAGGTGACCAGGTCCACAGGGAGCCCTGGGCCTTCCTGCCTCTCCTAGGGATTAAAAGTCTACACAGCCAAGCAGTGTGTGCTGCTTCGTAGTCGAACTCAGGCCTTGGACCGAGTTGGGGGTGTCCCCTTCCAGCCTGGCCCCACCTCCTCCCCTGGACACTGGTCCTAAGGACTCAACAGGCTGCAGTCTGACTGCCCAGGGCTCTGACCCCTGAGCCCTGGTTGCACCTGAATCCTGGCTCCTGGCCCCTGGGATGTCTGAGTCCTCCTCTGGTTGGAGCCACAGGAGACATGGTGAGCCCTGCTCGGATCACTCAGGCTGACGAGCGGGGCTGGGGTGTGGACCAGGCTATGGGACTCGGTCGGCCTGGACTCAGTCTAGTCCTACTGTGTGCGGTGTCCGGGGTCAGGATACTTGAATCCCGTGGGAGGAGCCCACCGCTAAGAAGCAGTCCTGTTAGAGTGGGTGTGTTCCTAAGTCCTATGACAGGTCCAGAGTGTCCCCATATCCTTGGCCAGCAGGTGTTCTGGTGATCACCAGCTCGGACAGAGGAATGCGTCCTGGAGACGAGGTGTCCCTCCAGCCCCTGCAGTCCATGGTGCTCTGCGTGCACCTCCTTGTGGCTCAGTGGGCGGACCCCGTGCTCAGTGTCCTGCCACAGTAAAGTTAAAACCTTATGAAGTCCAGAGGAAAACCCTGCGTGGACTGGCCCCAGCCTCGTGGGTAAGGAAGTCGAATCTTGCATGGCTGAGTGCAGTTTAAATCCCAGCCACAAGGCCTGGAAAAACACCAGCGTGTGTGTGCAAAACCTCAGCATGATGGGGAAATAGAGGCGAAGGGAAGGTGGTGTGACCATGAGCTCTCTCTCCCTCTCTCTCTCTCTCTCTCTCTTCCTCTCTCAAGTGTTCTCTGGCAATTAACAAATAAAGGAAAGCACAGCTTTGCAGATGCCCAGGAGCACCATCTGCAGGTGGCTTGTACTGCTACCTGTGTTCCTGTCCCTGTGGCTGGGAAGTAGAAACACTCCTGTCCTTGAGTGTCAGGCTGTGTCACTGACCCTTCCAGATCCCTCCCTACAGCCTGGGCTTCAGGGAGGGTTCCAGCTCCCTGAAAAGAACATCGTGGGTTTTCAGAGAGACAGTCCGAGTTCAGGATCGGTCTTTTATTTGGGGCAGGATGCTATGCAGGGAGACCACAGTATGAGAAATTGGGAGGACCCTTCCAGATGTGTCCCCCAAGGATGGGGCCTGGGAATGGCAGGTACAGGGACCCGGGAC